CACTTTCATGATTTGGCCATTTGGCGCCCTTCTCTTCACGAAACTGATGGTGCGGTGCTGATCTAAATTTCTACGCCATCAGCCAGGTGTGCCTTATTTTCCAAGGCAGAGTCAACAGTCACGTGGCAAGTGTTGCGCGTAGTCTCCTGTCGTCTTGTCACAGAGTGGTGCTCATTTATCAACCTCGGATGGAAGAAGGCCGGTGACCGCCGACCAGAGGTTGAACTTCGGACCTATCAGTTGTGAGTTCGACTCTCCACCGACTGAGTATCTCGGGTCTGAATCAACGTGTGATGAATTCCTTGCTCAACGGAATTCGTGAATAAGACAAAGATTGTTCTCGAACGGAATCGAACCCCGCACCTCCGGAATACGAAGCAGACCTTAGACCCTTAAGCACAGTGCCAACACGCCATCTTCATCTAACAGTTCATAATGACGACACAGTGACAGCCGGACTGTACCCGAATTAGCCATCTGAGTGGAAGAGCCCTCACCCCCCTCCCGAAACGGAGGCAACAAGACTCCGTGAACTCTGGCCCCTGAAACCGAGAGGTGGGTCTCCATCCGGACCGGCCGCTCGGACATCACAGTAGCATCGATGACGAACTGAGAAACCGTGCCATGGCGAAGAATCATCGGTCGGTGCCGGCCTTCAGATCTGATGTTTCGACGCGCAGCGCAACAATTCATCTTATCCGGATGAAATTTTCAACACCTTCGCTCGACCGGGCCGGTGTTTTTCAACAGACGTTCGCGATAAGCATGGCAAAAACGCACAAAACGCATTGACCCGTTGAGTGCAATGTTTTTTTTTCACTCTTGTTTTAATGACTTTCCTCGCCGAAATATTTTTTGCCTCGCGAAGTCTCTGAGTCCTCTTCCTCACCGTACAACGTCCATCTTCAGTGTATCCGTCGCGCGAAGCGGCTAACCGGCTAACCATACGAGTAAACAACGGATCACGTGCTGTCGTTAAACGAAGTGCGACAAAAGACCTCTTGCTCAGCCTCGGCGTGAAACGTTTTTACAAATAACCTGATACGAAGCAGTCGACTAACAAGACAACGGTAGTCAGGGTTTGCCTCAAGGCAATTCCGTTCAGGAGAAGGGCGCTCCGACTACGTAACGGGACTGGACAGCTGAAGGGTATATTAGTAAGAGATGGGTAAAAGGGGAGGGGGGGCAACAAGAACGGAAGATGGGGAAAATACTTGACGGAGGACGATATCAGGAATCTGAACATTACAGTGTCAGCCGTCATTGATGGAAAGACATGCAGATATGGAAAACCTGGCGACCGGCATACTGATGTATGTCATTACCAACTCCGTAAACGGAAGATGGCACTCGTAAGCTAAGTGATCGACTCGTTGGGTTGCACTGGCCGTTGTCAAGTCTATTGTCAAACATATTTACAGAATTTCGCCTACTCCGTTTGATTTTAGCTAATGCATAACAGGCGAAATCCAAAACCAATTTCATCAAAATTCCATCCTGTATCTTCGCAGCCTAGTCATGACACGTACGAGGCTTCATAATGCTAACTTCGACCATAAATACAGGCAGTTATCCCAGTCCCCCAGAGCATAACATATTGGCACGCCTTTAACGCACAGACCTACCTCAATCTTCGACGTTTAGCTACACGGCCTTTCTTTTCTGCCACTGAATGTCAGACCTTCATGACCACTAGAGAAGAGAGAGTGAATACAGTCAACCGACTTTTGTGTTAGTAAGCGAGCCAACCCTACTGGCAGCATGCTCTGCCCCTCTCCTAGCAGCCGTGAATACGGGCATTCCATAATGAAAGCGAAAAAAAAGCCGTTGCTTCGGACAAACAGATTTACTGCCTAAAAATGGCCTTTTTTCAACACAAGGCATATGAGGTATCTAATTCTGAAGCAGTTCGGCACGTGCGATTTGCTAGCTTACAAACTATCCTCACATGAGTAAACAGCACTACCTCGCTTTAGTTAGACAGCACCGTTGAGGACAGGCGACCGGTTCATCAGCTCAGCTACTTGAATGGGACTGCACAGATGGTAGAGAGTCATAAGCGCAACTGAGAAATCCCGGTCGAGTCACTGGCATATATTTTTTCAGAGGTAGGTATAAAGAGACTAAATGCCGAACTTGCCACATGGTTGTACACTTTACGCTTAAAATAACTATACTGCATTCCTAGCTGATGGCACCGAAATGGAGATTAAGGCTCACCATTAAATTCGTGAGGGAGAGAAAACGGTGCCACAAGTGGTCCCGAATCATGAAAATGTACGGGAGACGGACATCCGAACGGTTCAAACTTTCCTTCGTTCAACCTCTTGTATTGAGTTGATACGGTGACTGACCTTTTTTCACTTGGAGTAAAACAGAGCAAATGCCCATTACATATCTCGAAACTATTAATTTGCGCCTGACCAAAAGACGGAGAATTACCGCAAATCGCAACAGTACAATTTGTAAA